TTATCTACATGGCGAATCGAGGTCGGCAATGAAACTCAAGGGTATTTTACTGTAAGTGGAAATAGGTTATCCAACTACCATTAATGTTGGACTCCATTCCTGTCCGGTTATAGGGAGGTGGTGCACCTGTTCTGATTTTGTTACTTTTGCTTTCCTTGGCTGCCTTGTTGCATCCTGGTGACTTTCATTAATAGCCTATGAGTCATTGGGTATGGCACGCTTGCAATTATGTCAGATTGATTGGTATTGCTGCAATCTCAGCAATACCAAGTTGTAAGGTGTCAGCCAGCTCAAGATCTGCTGCGAGGCAACCCAGCTCCCCTCTAAAGTAAATTCTGTGATTATGCACTCCTGGTCCCAGTCAGGGATCTCCAGTCACCAAGCAGTTGAACCATTTCTAAGGGATGGAACAGGGTGAGGATTTCTCACTGTAGGTTAACTAAAATGTAGAAGTTTTTTTTTCTATATGGGGAGAGTATTTTGACACATTATACTCTCCTTGGATCACAAGGGCGACCGTTCCAACCAATGTCACACTCAAGGATTACTCCTTTTGGCCCATTTGATCTAATTCTTATGCAGTATCCACCCAACTGCTGACTCAACGGAAACATCAAACTGGAAAACATCAATTACTGATTTGTAGGTGAACTTCATGCAGGCCATGTATATTTCATTCCCCCCACCCCATGGTAGCCCACCGGGATGCAGAAAGGTCAATAACTTGGGTAAGCCACCTGAATAATGAAACCTGGCCCTCTATGACACATAATAATAATTCTTCAATTTGATATAGCGCCTTATCACGTCTTCGAAATGTCTCAAAACGCTTCACAGAATACACAGTAAAGTGAGTTGACTATATTCGTGTGGAGTAAGAAAACGTGTCCAACATTTTGCCCTGCCAGGAATTGAACACAAATCGCTCGCTTGCGAGGGAGTCATCTAACCATCAAGCTACAGATGGTAGTTACAATAACAATGCTGGCACTTGATATAACTCCTTATCACATTGTCGAGACTTCTCAAAGCGCTTCACAGGATATACTATAAAGTGGATTGACAGTGGATTTTGTGGGTGAATGTGGCTGCCAGTTTGTGCACACACAATGTCCTACAAACAAATGGAGTGAGTGACCAATTTTATTTGGGGGATTGTTGGCCAGGACACTTTGAGAAACTCCCTTCTCTTTTCGAATAGTGCCATGGGATCTTTAACGTCTACCTGAACAGGAGGATGGGACCTCAGTTTAATAATAGTAATCCTTGCATTTGATATAGCGCTTTTCACGTCTTCGAGACGTCTCAAAACGCTTCACAGAATATACTGTAAAGTGAATTGACTGTATATTTTGTGGGTGCAACGCGGCAGCCAATTGCGCACAACAGTGTCCCACAAACAGTAGTGGATTGAGTGACAAAATTATTATTATTTTTGTTTTCTTGTGGGATTATTATCAGGCAGGTGGAGTAAGGAAACTTGTCCATCAAACCTAGGTCTCTCGCTTGCGGGGCGAGTGCTCTAACCACTGAGCTACAGGATTCCTTTTAACATCTCATCCAAAGGACGGCACCTCCGACAATGCAACACGCCTCCAGCACTGCATTGGAGTGTCATCTTAGAAGATGTAATTCCAAGTCCCATGTGGGGCTTGAATCCACAACCTTCTTACTCAGAGGCAAGAGTGCTACCACTGCATCAGGCTGACACACATAGTTATTTATAACTTATACATTATAACTATTATATATTATGTATTATTACTTATAACTTATATATTATAATAGTTATAATACTGTAATATAAAATTGCTAACTACACAGAATAGTACTCTATATTTCCATATGGGGTCACATCTCCGGTTATGCTTTTTCCTTATAAGATTCATATCACATCTATACAATGTATCCCAAATTTGCCTGAGACAACTGTTAACTTCACTAAAATGTCACGAGTGTAACCCCTGGAAGACCTTGCTTACACCCCAGCCCCCCAAAAGAAAAAATATTTTATGGTATTCATTTTATTGGGCTATGAATGGCTGAGTGGACCCACTGGGATTTAAACCAGGTCCTAAATCAGACTGAACAGATTGAGCAAGTTAGGAAGGTTATAATTAAACCAGGTACAGTAAGCACAATGTACCTCGACTATAAATAACTCTTTTTTTTTTCGACCTTTCTTTTCGACCGCGCCTTTGGTCACCTTCCCACCCCTCCCCCTGGCTCGGTCCCGGGATCCTAAACTGTAAAGCGTTCTGAGACGCCGTCCGGCGTGGAGGGCGCTATATAAATCCAAGTTGTTGTTGTATAATTAGATGTTCCCCTGCTTCCCCGTGGAGTCCTGTAGCTCAGTGGTTAGAGCACTCGCTTTGTAAGCGAGAGACCTGAGTTCAATCCCAGGCAGAGGGGGAAACCTTGGGCAAGTTTCCTTACTCCACACAGAGCCTAATAATCCCTCCAAAACCAAAACAATAATAAATTGGTCATTTTCAATCCACGACTGTTTGTGGGACATTGCTGTGCGCAATTGGCTGCCGCGTTCGCCCACAAATATACAGTCAATTCACTTTACAGTGTGTCCTGTGAAGCGCTGTGGGACGTCCTCCCGACGTGAAAAGCGCTATATCAAATGCAAGGATTATTATTATTATTATTGTTGCTGAGCGCTTGATCAACAAGTTTGTCATTTAATCGTGTAGACGTGTAAAAGATGAAACTGATGTGAACACTGAGAGTTTATACCAGTCCAGGAACAGTCATGTATGTCACTCGGGACTGTGATTGCAGACTCCCCTGACCTGGGCTGCACATGGACAACATTCCTCACACACAGCACAGAGCTGCGATGCACAGTCTGAGTGTAACGTGGCCTCCTGTGAGGGCAGTGACCACCCGGGACCCCTGTGCCCATCAGTCAGTCCGAGTGCAGTGTTGCTCGGGGGCCGCCTGTCACCCCCTCGGCGGCGCTGACCACAAGGTCCGGCGGGAACGTCCGCCCCGAACTCCTGCTCCGAGGCGGTTGGCGAGAGGGGGTCCGACCCGGAACAGTAACGGTGGGGCACCTGCTCACCAACATCCGGAAATTACCAGTGACCTCAACAAGAAGTGTGTGCGGGAGGAGAGAGGAGAGACACCGACACACACACACACACACAGCGCCGCGGAGACTGTCAGCGGCGGAACCCGGAGAGAGAGCGACCTGTGGAACCTTACCCGGGAGGGGCTGTGCGGGGCTGTGCTGTGCTGTGCGGGGCTGTGCGGTGCTGGGGCTGTGCTGTGCGGGGCTGTGCTGTGCTGTGCGGGGCTGTGTTGTGCGGTGCTGGGGTTGGGCTGTGCTGTGCGGGGCTGTGCGGGGCTGTGCTGTGCGGGGCTGTGCTGTGCGGGGCTGTGCGGTGCGGGGCTGTGCTGTGCGGTGCTGGGGTTGGGCTGTGCGGGGCTGTGCTGGTGCTGGGGTGGGCGGTGCTGTGCGGTGCTGTGCGGTGCTGTGCTGGTGCTGTGCGGGGCTGTGCTGTGCGGGGCTGTGCTGTGCGGTGCTGGGGTGGGCGGCATGATCCTGGCTGCCCGCTCGCCGTGTGGGGACACAGCTCCTGGAGTGCAGTGAGAGAGGGAGCGGAGCGGAGCCGCCCCCTCCCCCCCCCCTCCCCCCGGGACACGAGAGCCACACCAGCAGCGCCGGGACGGACAGTCTGACCTGACCCACAGCTCCGGTGTGGGGGGAGAGGAGGAGGAGGGCCGTGTGACCCTGTGCCTGAGCTGCAGACCCTCTCCATGTCAGCGCCGTCCGGGGCACCTCATCCCCAGTGAGAAGCATTGATCCCCGGAGACCCCGCACTGGGGGTAAGTCGGGGGTCGGGTGTTGTTGTTGTTGTTCGGGGTGACCGAGGCTCGGCCCCGCGGACACAGCGGCTTTGTGTCAGAGCTCTGTCTCGGGTTCGGGTCGATCCACTGCCGTTTTGCCCGTTTTTTTTTAAAAAAAAGAAAGTGCCGCTCTGACACTCTCTCTCTCTCTCTCTGGGCGTTGGGAGAGGATTGTACATCAGCAAAGTTAAGGTGAGAGAGAAAGAGAAAGAGCAGCGAAGGCGGTGGGTGTGGAAACGGACTCTGATCTGTTGTTGTTTTCTACACGAAAGCTGTGTTTTGGTGGTGGTTCGGTGACGGTTTAGCGACGAATCCCCTTCTTTTGCTCATAAGGGAACTGTGTAACTGCTGTTACATTGATCTGTTTGTGTGGGAGTGGAGAGGAGAGAGAGAGAGAGACTCACTCAGTGGGGGGGAGGGAGGAGGGAGAGGAGGGAGGGAGGGAGAGGAGGGAGGGAGGGGAGAGGAGGGGGGAGGGAGGAGGAGGGGGGAGGAGGAGGAGGGGGGAGGGAGGAGGAGGGGGGAGGGAGGAGGAGGGGGGAGGAAGGGAGAAGGAGGAGGGAGGGGAGGGGGAGGAGGGAGAGGAGGAGGTGGAGGGAGAGGAGGAGGGGGAGGGAGGAGAGGGGAGGGAGGGAGAGGAGAGAGGAGGGAGGGAGAGGAGGGAGGGAGGGAGCGAGGGAGGGAGAGGAGAGAGGGAGAGGAGGAGGGGGGAGGGAGGGGGGAGAGGAGGGGGAGGGAGGGAGAGGAGGAGGGGGAGGGAGGAGGAGGGGGGAGGGAGGAGGAGGGGGAGGGAGGGAGAGGAGGAGGGGGGAGGGAGAGGAGGGGGGGAGGGAGGAGGAGGGGAGGGAGGGAGTGAGGGAGGAGGGAGGGAGGAGGGGGAGGAGGAGGAGGGGGAGGGAGGGAGGAGAGGAGGGGGGGAGGGAGGGAGGAGGAGGGGGGAGGGAGGGGAGGAGGAGGGGGGAGGGAGAGGGAGGAGGGGAGAGGAGGAGGAGGAGGGGGGAGGGAGAGGAGGAGGGGAGGGAGAGGAGGAGGGAGGAGGAGGAGGGAGGAGGGAGGCAGGAGGAGGAGGGAGGGAGAGGAGGGGGGAGGGAGGGAGAGGAGGAGGGGGGAGGGAGAGGAGGAGGAGGGAGAGGAGGAGGAGGAGGGAGAGGAGGAGGGGGGAGGGATATTGAACCTTTCCTGGAGATTGCAGGGAGTTCCTTTAAGCACAACTGCTCTGAGCTGAACTTTATTTCCATTTTCAATCTAAAGTCCAAACAATGCAGCAGTTGTACTTGGAGCAAAGACGTTGTGGTTTATAAGTTTCACTATGTTGGAAAGCCACATCCATCTACAGGTTGAGCAGCAAATCGTGATAGCATTTATTGTGACACTAATGATGACTGGATTTCTTCATCATTTCTTTAAGACTTGTTAGATACTGTCATGGTATCACCCGATATGAGTTGATAAGCGTTTTACATCGAAAGAAAACTTGCAGTTATGTGGCTATGTTTTATGTTGCCTCTATGCAAAGGAGTAAACGTTTGTGAAAATGTCTTTTTCCTTCACAGAACACCCGTGGATTGTCTTCACAGTACAGTCGTGGACACAAATATATATTTAAACGGGTTTGAATCCTGTCGTCTTGAACTTGTGTGAAGATTTTGTTTGCGCAATTGGAAGAAATGGGGACTCCTGGAGCTGGAAGGAAACGAACACCGATTAAGGATAGATTCTCAGCCGAAGATGAAGCTTTGAGCCACATTGCCAGAGAGGTTGGTTGCAATTACAGTCAGCAAAATGTGTCTATTATGTTATAGAAATCTTGTTATTGTTAGATGGTTGGAATGGGATATCCTTAGTTTCGCTGAGTCAATACAATAGTTTGACATTCTTTTTACTTATAGGTACAATTAATATTCTGCATGAACTGGTGACAAGCAAACACTCACAGTGTAAAATTAATTTGCAGTGTTGGAAAGAAACATTACTGTAGGCATAGTCTAATGAGTTGTTAGAAGTAGAAACCACATTATTTCTATTTATTTCTCCCCCTAACCTTATGATGTGATTCATTCTTATCATAATACTAATTTGTTTCTAGATTTCCCAGCAAAATGAAATGAGACAATATAAAAGTATGTTTTTACTTTCTAAGTAAACAGATAGGATTGTTAATATTCTGTGATAAATATATTGCATAGATTGGTTATAGTTTTAATGTTCATTTATTTAGTTTTCTTATTATCCTTTGCAACGCAAGTAACCTATCAAAAATACAAATACACTTTGAGATATGAAATATACATAGAAATCTTAATAACATACCAATAACATGAGTGACTATTATAACTACAAGATCACTTTAGTATCATACTATATGTTTAAGCATACTTAAGCATAAATCTCCCAAAATTTAAACTAACTTGAATGATAGGTTTAAAAAGGTACAAATAATAGAACGATTCTCCACTTTGAAATTCAAAATTGAAACAGTTAAGAAGATGCACTTTGAGCATCACTTTTTGGCCTCTTGTTATCATAGTAGCATTCAAGCTCTTCGTTGAGACTAGTGAGAGCTTCATTGAAAGCTATTCGCAGAAAATCCACAGTAACCGTAATTCTGCTTTCCATTTCCAGTTGAATGAGGTGCGAAGTTGTGGTGACTGAACACTTTTACTTGATTCAGGATTGTAAGGTGTTGAGTAAAGTTTTTAGAAGTTGAGATATTCTGTTATCTCTATTGCTTTGGCTTAATAGCAATATATCACTGTCTGATTGTTGTCTGATGTTATATCCTTTCTGGTTTCAAACAAAATTTCACCTTCAGATGGTCAAAACTGTAAACTGAACACACATTCCTATACTTAAATGTGTTGTGCAATATATTGCCCATTTCCGAAAGAGTTTCTAAGCCAATTAATAGGTTGTGATACCTAAGATAATGTTTTTGTTACTTCCTTTTGCAATGCACACAAGAGTTATCATTTGATTAATTAGTAATGATAATAATAATCCTTGCATTTGCATAGCTCCTTATCGTGTTGTTGAGATGTCTCAAAGCTCTTCACAGAATATACTGCAAAGTATGTAAAGTATATACTGTGTGTGTGTATGTGTGTGTGTATATATATATATAGCAGAATGTTAGCACTATTTTCCTGCTGCTCTTGAAAACTGTCTCTTTGAGCCATTCCACACCCAAGTTGGCATTCTGAGATGTGAGCTGAGACGATGAGTGTCGGCAGGCTATTTCACTATGAGGAGCTAAACCCAATCCTGTCTCCACTTTATTTTCACCAAACACTAAAGACAGTTGTCACTGCGCAGACCAGGGATCCAACTGGAACCTTTCTGGTTTGATTCAGTACCACATCACCCGGGGTGATGAGTTATCACTGACTGAGTTATGAGAATTGTTTTAAAATAGCTTTCACATAGAGCTCCAAATTAGAGAAAGGGAACTGTAACTGCAACAGTCTATAGTTTATAGTAGGTATGAGAGTGTTTTTTTAAATAACATCCTATTTGTATAACTTGTATAGTACATAATGAGTACATGTGGTACTCACTATTTTTCTACAATGTAAATTCAGGTGGATGACAAATGTTCTAAAATAATCCCTTGCATCTGATTTTTTTTTCCATTAACAAGTAGCCTTGAAAACTTTCAAAACTGCACGAATGTTTATATGGAGAGAAGGAGGAATTTGTCCGTGGGGTTGGACCACTGTCACATAGGCTTGCTGGTTAACCACAGGCAAATGTGTTGCAAGACAACAGTTGTGAAGCACTTGCACAAGATCACAAGGCTACTTTAAAATATCTTCCAGTAAACCATATCAATGGATGTTGACCATAATCTGTGCTTATCATTTCCTAATTCTGAAATGTTTGGATTGAATGAGCAAATATTATTTTAATGTATATTTACTTAAAAATTTACATGGTCCTGGTAATGTTTTCCAAACAATACATAGCTGTTACAAAGAATCCGGTGATCACACAGGTTGTTTGTAGTACAATAATATAAATTCAAATGGACCCCATTTTTTTTACCCAAATATCCAAATGCACACCAGTCCCAGCAGCACTTCAGGATGTCAGCTGGCATGTGGCAAATGAAAATGACTGATATCTAGGCAATCAGGTTGCTGCCAAAATCACTTCCTACACGCCGTCAACAACAACAACAACAAGATTCCATTTATTGAGCGCCTTTCACGTCGGGAGGACGTCCCAAGGCGCTGAAGGAAGTGATGATGGCAGGGACCTGATGTCCTGGAAGTCACCCCGTTATAACAGTGGTTGGGATGTTATTGACTTCAGCTGTCGCACTATAACAGGGCTTCTCTATGCTTGTCAGTTATATGTGTATGTGTAGATTGGGTCAAACTCTAGCTAGTTGTGTATCCAATAAAGTTGGAAACCAATCTAATAGAAATATTGAGTGTAATAGCGAGAAGATTTAGATAGTTTTAGATCGATCTTCAAGCAGATAAGAACTTAGTCTGTCTATATTTGCACCATTTTAGCTGACTTACAAGACAAGCTCGTTCTAGGAGATGAGTGGCAAAGCTTCAGAGTGTCGTGGTCTGTGTTGAGTCACTTGTTGTTTAGAAGTCTTCATGACTAATATGGTTTGCTACAATAGTGGTAGTAGTACTGATGTGACTGATGGCACCAAGCTGGGTGATGGGTCTGGAGTGAATGAAATGTAATAGATGGGTTACAGGATTGAGTGTAAAGAAACATAAGGCCCAGCTAATTCAATGGTAACATTATAGGGTTAGTAATGTGGAACAGTAAGAGACTATTTGATAGGCTGAACAGCTTTTTTTCTGTTTCCATGTTACTATCTCTATCTCTATATAATGTCCAGTTGTATCCGCAAGCAGAATTTTCAGCCTTTTAATAATAATAATAACCCTTACATTTGATGTAGCACCTTATCATGTTGATGGGACATCTTAAAGCGCTTCACAGGATACATTGTAAAGTGAATTGACTGTATCTTGTGGGTGAAACGCGGCAGCCAATTCTGCAAAGCAGTGTCCCACAAAAAAAAGTAATTCTTTTTAAAAAAAATTAGTATGGGAACTGGCTGGCGGATGTCCTGTGAGCTAGTCGGCTTTGCGAGTGTGCAGTCGAAGGGCTGTTGCTCGTTGCTATAGTGCAGGTTGCAATTTTATGGATCCCAAACACCACGATGTAACAGGCGTGTGCTATGATCTACAATGGTTGATGGCATTTCTTTTTTATCGGACCAAATCCATTCAACTGGATATACAGTACCATCAGAATATTAAAATCACAGATCATGCTCTGATATTCAGCTTTGCTGACAAACTTTTTTAATGGGTCCAATGTCACATGCTTTTGACAACTGGATTGTAAATACCGTAAAAAAAGATCTTTTTAAAAACAAATGCAAGTATTTTCCCACAAGTGTACAAAATGTGTGTATACACGATAAAATAAATGGCAGATGATTTGCTATATTTAAGAGCTATTTTAATATGCCCTCATTTAAAACATCAATGTATCTTTAAAATGCAAACATGGAGTAATTTGGTGTAAAGACCAAGTTATTGTTGCCATACAGTATAAGATGCTCTGTTTTGAGGAAACCGTTCTTCTTTTAGAAATGAAAGAGTATGTGGTGGTGTTATCTGAGGAGCTGCCGTGTTGCTGAGGAAGGCCAATTGTGCATTTGCTGATCTATACTTAGAAGGGAAAACTGAGTGTTCAGTGCAGTGTCCCCAATCAGATGTCCAACTTTTGGACAGGTGCAGCCTGCAAGCAATGACTGGTTCATGTATGAAAGTCAGCCTGGGGTGAACTCCAGTGTATCGTGACTTGATGTGTGAGAAATCTGATGCTGGCAGTGGTGGAAATGTGGCTGTGCATTACAATATTATTATAGATCTTGGCAGATCAAGGCCAGCTGTGGACTTGGGGTGAATTACTTGTTTGATGTGGTAGAGACAAACAAAATGTTACTCTCTGAAGATTCAATGCAGGACATAGCAGCTGTATGAATTGTTCACTCTAGGTGTTTAATTTCAGTTCAGTACTTTCACATCTGTTTGTGTCTCTTTACAATACAGCCTGATTTAATTGACACATTTTTGCAGGCAAGAATACAATGTTGTGTGGTGTTGAAAAGGAGAACAATACAGAATCGATGGGGAACTCCACCCTGATGTATTTGCTTTAGAGAGATGTAGGAATAGAAAGGATTGAGAGAGACCATTGCAGTTTTGCTGATCCCAAAGTTTCAAAAATCTCATACAATTCTCCATCTTATACCCTTCAACCTCCTCTTTGTTTGCATTGGCTTGTTGTAAAGGTAACACTATTGTGTTGTAATCTCAGCTACATGTGGAAATAACCAAAAACATATACAGTCGTATCTGAAATACAGTATCTATTCAACTATTTAAGTAACAGATCTGTATTCATCTGAAGGGTTTGCTTTTTAAACAAAAAACAAGTAATTCAGTTAAAATATTTGGTTTGAGTTGCAGCTTTAAACAATTATTTGAAAAGTGGCATATTTTTTAAGAAAAAGGCTATTATTCTGAATAACCAGTTTTACGAATCCTATTTTGTGCCCAGTGTTATGCTGACCAAAAATCATTATTATGCCACAGCACTACTTCATTTCAGAGCATAGTTGAGCAGGTGGCCTAAATGTAGCGATGTGATAGTGACGGTGTTAATACCAGCGCTGTAAAATTCTAGGCTGAGTTTTGGGTAACACGGAAGTGGC